AGACGCCATGCTGTTTGACCTAATCCTAGGGCATCATGCTAGGGCTAATCTAATTCTCTAATCCTCTTACGGTGTATTTACTCTATTAATTACATATTTAATGAGGACATGCATGCTTTGTGTTATCGCTGTACCCTGCCAGTTAATATTCGTACTCGTTTTGTGGAAGCCGAGCTGGTGGGTTCAACTATACATTCCACATTCCTATGGTGGGGACCTGTATATCCATATAACGACCACTTTTTTTTTTATTGCTGTACTAATTTCATCCGTCAAGGTTGGAGGGGGTTAGCTGCATCTCTTTTTACCAATCCACACTGACGAGCGTGGTGAAGTATGGTCAAACAACCCCTCCCCCAAGACGGGGCACAGCGTGGCGAGGCCCTCATCCGGCTGTCGATTGACAACAGAGGGCTATGCAAGTGGACAGGAGACAGCAAATATTCGTGATTTGTATCCATTTGCACCCAGCAAAACAGGGAACGTTGGTTCTAGATTTGAAGCTTTCGTGACTGCAAGGATTCATATTCTTAGGTTTTTTCGGTAAAGTCACGTAGGTAAAAAATTAAAATTAATAAAAGTAAAATAAAAATAAGCCGCACCTCACCATAATACAGGCTCAGTCATTTGTTATGTAGTCTAGCCGTAGTCTCAAGCCGCACCTTACCATAATAATAAAAAGTGGTCCGTTCCTGGCCCATCCCCCCCACCTCAACCATTATATATACGGAGTGGTATCTCTTGTAATCTCTCATTTACTTGATACAGCTCTCGTGCTGTGACGGTTCCACCTGAAGACGGAGGCTTGTGTTGCCTCCGAAACGTCGTGATTTTTTAAAATTAATTTAAAATTTTTACCTACGTGACTTTACCGAAAAAAACCTAAGAATAGGGAACGTTGGGCCAAAGTTGGTCCAGCGGTTCCAACCAACCATGCCGACGTTGGCCCAACGTCGGCATTGCCCCTACTTGGGGTACGGGGGGGGGCTACTCTGGAGTGAACACGTGCGTCGCACACCCCACGCACTCTGTGGGGTAGACGTGCCCAGAAAGCGAATTTGGACGCCGTTATTCCCGGACACCAACAAGCGAGAGTCGCGGCTTAGCTCTGCTTATTCAGCGCGTCCGCACGCGCTATCTGAACCAGATCCCGGGCCTCCGTTTGGTCGACTCGGCCTCAAATGAGTACCTGGTGCGGTGCGTAAACATCGCCACTGGGAAGACAAAGGCGATCGGGCGTGGTGCTGGCCACTCATCCCCCTCCTTGTACCGTTTTGGCCTTCATAGGAGTGCTGCTCGCTAACCGCACTTGCCCCGACAGTCTGTCAAGGCTATACGGGGGGTCTTTGTCTTTGGTGTGTGCATTGCACGCTGCTGCCGATGCTGCTGCCTGGCGCCGGCAGCGGCATTTGAATCGCCCTTGCACGGGGCCCATTCAACTGGGCCCAAGATCTCAAAGTCATTGCTCACTCAACCATGCGTGTCTGTGTGTGTGTCTGTGTGTGTCTGTGTGTGAGAGAGAGGGCAATGTAGCTGTCTGCTGAAGGAATCTCCTAACAATGCGAACGCAGAGGACGGGTTTGGGGGGTAGATTCAAAATCAGCAGGATGACATCACCGCACCCATTGGGGTTGCGAATTTGGAATTTGGGATGCATTAATGACGCTCTGACTAATAGCCCACGGTGGGTATAGGGGCAGTAGCTTTCTGTATGCAGTGAGTGAGTGTGTATATAGGGTGATAGTAAGGAGCGGTAGTGTAGTGGTTAGCGCGCTGCGCTACGAACCCGGCAATCCGGGTTCGATTCTCGCTCACGGCCAATGCCGGTTACGATTATCTGAACCGGCCTCGCCTAGGTCGACTGAGCCTCAAATGAGTACCTGGTGGGACGTGTAAAAACATTTCCGCTCAGGAGACAAAGGCGGCCGGGCGTGGTGCTGGCCACCCACCCCCTCGTGTGCCGTGCCGGCCTTCATAGGTGCTCGCTAACAGCACTTGCCCCTAAAGTCTGTTAAGGCTACCCGGGGGCGTCTTTGTCTTTCGTGAGAAAGCGTGCAACGGTCTGCTGAAGGATCTCCTAACATCTTCTTGGTTCTTTCGGTAAAGTCACGTAGAAGGGAAATAATAAAATCATAAAAATAAAACATAATACATTTTATAATAAAATAATAAAAATAAAACATAAATGTTATTTTGTTTTATTTTTATTACTTTATTATTTCCCTTCTACGTGACTTTACCGAAAGAACCAAGAAGACGAATCCCTGCAGTCACGAAATAAGCTTTAAATCGAAATCTCCTAACAATGAAGGCGGAGGAGGAGGAGGAGAGAGCGGTAGATCCAAAATCAGCAGGATGACATCACCGTTGGGGTTGCTCATTTGAGAATTTAGGATGCATTAATGACGCTCTGAATAGTAGCCTCATCCATGTGCATAGGAGCAAGTGTAGCTTTGCTGCTTGCGGGGTGTGTGCGATGTTGGTGTGTGTGTGTCGAGGGTGATTGTGTTGCCTAGGCGACTGCATAGTGATGATGGGGCGTTAACTCGGGACGACGTTTTTCGCGAGCATTTCGCAATGAGCAATTCTCGACATTTGCATTTCGAAATGGTCAAAGTGAAGCAACGAGGAGAGGATAAATAATGAAATAAGGAATGATAGCGCAGTGTCCCCGCGTGTGAACGACGGGCTGAGTGTGTGTACGTAACATGGGGAGCGGTGGTGTAGTGGTTAGCGCTACGAACCAGGCGACCCGAGTTCGATTCCCGCTCACGGCCACCAACACTGCTGACGATTTATCTGAACGGGATCCTGGGTCATCCCCTAGGTTGACTTGACCTGGTGTGGTGTGTAATCATCACCACTGGGGAGACAAAGGCGGTCGGGCGTGGTGATGGCCACCCACCCCGGCCTTCGTAGGTGCTCGCTAACAGCACTTGCCCCAACAGTCTGTATAAGGCTATACGGGGCATCTTTGTCTTGTGTATGTAATGTGACGTTGTTCATATCGGCGAATCGTGTTGGTGACGCTGTTGCTACTGCGATGGCAGCGAAGAACAAATGACACAACACCTCGACACATTTGCTCATAACATTTTGAGTGTGGCTTTTTAAAATATTGTTAGGCGACGTTTCGGGCAATGGCCCTTCACAGCACACGGAGAGGCGTAGCTTGGTCCGGTTAACGGAAGGAGACAATGAAAATCACAAGTTAATTAAAATTGGACGTCAAACCGCAGCTGTCTTTGTCATTCTGGTGAACATTAGCAGATTGATCCAATTGCTCGTTCCATCTGTAGACAATGTATGCGTATACATACACGTGTGTGTGTATGTATATGTACAGCCAGCAGGTTTATTACATAGATGGCTTCTAAGTGTGCCATTTTGGAAGCACTATATTGCAGCATTTAATTCAAATTCAAATGCACTAATGACCGAAACGCCACATTTTGCGAGCGGAAAGGTCATTGTAAAACACAAACGCATCTAATCGGCGTGCAGATGAACAATGCAAACCATTATCGGCTGACCATACCAACCCGATGAACTAAAAAATGATGATATAATTTCATAATATTAATAATAATAACCATGCAACAGGTGAATTTGAACCACCACCAGTGGAGAACTGCGTGTATCATTGCATATACCTCGTGCATCTAATGACGGCCTCCAATTACAGCGGCAGCTCGAAAAATCGTCGTCACCGTTCGCACTAACGCCTCTGTTAAACCACCGAGCACGCAGTGCTGTGTGGAAGCGAGCGCTTCAGGTAATGAGCCTTTTTCAGAGGAGACAAATTACCCATAATGGTATACAAAATTTTTTTTAACCTGCATCTGTAATACGGTGTGGTTAAAGCATCTCCAGGCTCAGCCTTGCGAGATCCGGACGGGGCATGGATACACGTCCACGCATGTGCGTAACCTCTAAGCTGACGACAACATAATCATCATAATTCTGCGAGCTCTCGCCTGGCGATTTTAAACCACGTGCATTTTTACATCCACGCTTTGCAATCGATGCTTTGGAAACGCAGATGCGGCTGCTTCAGTTGTCTGCTGCTCATGATTCCTTACACATTTGTTGCAGTTGACCCTTTGCTGTGTTCTATTTGATTCTTACACGGCTCTCCTTTAAACAAAAAAAAATGACTTTCATCGGGTCTCAAATGGCACCAAGTATAATGTTGCGCAGAGATAAGCTGCTGCCGGTCCAACGCGCACGCATCACAATGCAGTAGACGCACCGACCAATGGGCGTGCGGATTATAAAGTGCGTGTGCATTGCTGATAAACGAATAACCACACACACACAAAGATCCGCCGTATAGCTTCTAAACAGGCTGTTGGGGAAAGTGCTGTTAGCGATGACCTGTTATTACAGCGGGGTAGGGAGATCGTGATGTGGCCAGAACCACGCCCAGTCGCCTTGGTGGACTCGGTTACGGGTGTTTACGCAGCAGGTACTAAATTAAAGGCCGAGTCGACCTAGGGGAAGTCCCCACGTAACCGGTCCGGATATCACTCGCCACTGACGTTAGCCGTGACGAAGGGGAATACGAACTCGGGCTCGCCGGGGGGGTATCGTGGCGCAGCGTGAAAACCTCTGCGCCACCTCTTCCCCCCCCACCCACCCACAAAGACAAAGCTCCCCCGTATAGCCTTAGCACACTTTTGGGGCAAGTGCTGTTAGCGAGCACGTATGAAGGCCAAAACGGCATATAATGTTGGTGGGGGGGGGGGGGGGGGGTAACGTAGCCAGCACCGCACCAGGGCGCATTCGTCTCCCCAGTGGCGATGCTCGCATAGTCGCACCAGCAACTCAACTGAGGCTGGGTCGACCTGGCGGAGACCCACGACCGGTTCAAAAAATTCTGAATCGCCGCCGGTATTGGCCGTGAGCAGAGGAATCCAAGCGCGCTGTCGCTGGATTCGCAACGCAGCGCGCTAAACGCCGCCACGCTACCGCTCCCGGCCCCGTCGCAAACAACTCACCTTGTGAGCTCGCAGCTTCGAGCGCAGTCGCTACCTGCGCTAGGAAGCAGCAAGCGAGGCTCAGAGCCGTCATCCGCATCGCGCGCAACGGCAGCGGCATCAGCGGCGGCATCAGCGGCTGCAGGGAGGGATGGTCGCGTTGCCGCATTCAGTGCCAAGTCGCACGGCCGCGTCCGGCTCTCGGGGGATTCTCGAAGACTGAGAGCGAGCGAGCGAGAGGGGGGCGAGAGAGAGAGAGGGAGGCGAGGCGAGCGAGAGAGCGAGGGAGAAGAGCGCTTCTCTTCACGCGCGCGTGCACGCGGACGGCTCCGCTCTCGTGCGCACGCGGTGTTCCCGTGCCGTGCGTCCCACGGAGGATGTCGCCTCTCGAAGTCGCCTCATTCCTCCCACGCAGCTCCACCGTGCGCGTGGTGAGGACATCAATTTATTATCGCTGGGAAGGAGGGTGGTGGGTGTGTTCCCCCCCCCCCCCCCAGTCACTCGTTAAATTCACTTTTTTTCGAGTCATTTATTATTTAGCTTCCTTAGGCTACAAAACCCCTCCCCTCCCCAGCGCGCGCGTGGGTGTGGTGGTGGTGGTGGGGTGGATGTGCGTGTGTCTGCGTGATGCGTGATCTCGCTTGAGAGCGGTGGTGTCGTGGTTAGCGCGCTGCGCTACGAACCCCGTGCGGCCAGGATCTGATATCCCAGTGACAATTATCTGAACCGGCCCTGAGCCTCCTCTAGATCGACTCGACCTCACATCATCGCCACTGGGGAGACAAAGGCGGCCGTGCGTGGTGCTGGCCACCAACCCCCCCCCCCCCCCCCCCCCCCCCCACTCGGGTGCCGTGCCGGCCTTTTTAATAAATGCTCGATAACAGCACTTGCCCCATTTAAAGTATGTCAAGGCTGTACGGGGCAGCGGTGAGGTTACCGCTGGGGTCACTCAGCAATCATCGCCTCCACTCACGAGATCCCAAGACTCGTCACGATTCGGGGTTAAACCTGACGGGAGCGATGAGGTTCAACATTCTCCTGCTATGTTGTTATCCGCAACATTTCACAGTGTCTCCTATTCTCCGGAATGTAGGACGCACCCCAGAGGTGCACAAGTACAATGTAAAAAAAAAAACTAACTCGACACACTCGTCAACAACACTCGCTGGCTTTAAAAGAAAAAAATATATAGTAGGCGACGTTTCGGGCAATGGAGCTTCTTCATAGCGCACCTGTCGGATTACAAGATGCAACACCAACGTTTGTTTTGAAATGAGTGGGGGATGCGAGGCTTTATCCACTATCGGACTTCGCTTCACGGGAGGCAAATTACTCGGTTCACCGATCTTATTTTCGTTATAAGTGTTCCGCACCAGACGTGCAGCAACGTGTGATTATTACTTCAGGCCGATTTTGCCCCGTTGGTGAAACCACTTCATTTCCGATTCGTATTTTTTTTGCAGGGGTCCATGAGGTTTAAAAATAAAAACGTACAATAGGGGTTTTCTGACTTGTTCAATTATCCTAAACCCTTACAATGTGTGTCAAACGTCAACTCTCCAGCCATTACCCAAGCGCCATTATAATTGATATCACTCAGTCGCGATCGTCTGCGTTCCACCCAGGAAAATCAATTATTCATCCAGAATCGCTTTGCTTCTTCGAGAGGTTCCCACGTCGGCTCACCCACCGTCTCCGTCTGTGCGTTATCGTTCCCCGCGCGTGGCAACACTTCTTCACTGGCGCTCCTCTTACACAGGTGGTTTGTCTACAACCTACCTTCTGTACCGCCACTTGCACGGGCGTCCTTTGCGGGTGGCTGTTTTGTCGAGCATTTTCCACCGATTGTCATACCGCGTGTACTCTTCTTTTTTTCTTGGCCGAAAGGTTTTAACCTTGGCGTATTATTTGCATTCCATTTGCGTAGGGACAGAGGGGGTGTCTTGCTCCCCCCTCCTCCTCCTCCCCCGGGTGACCAAAGCTACGAGCTGGGGTGGGGGGGGGGCTTTGTAAACCACCACGAGAGATGTTTTCAACAACGGTGTAAAAGAACAAACTTATTCAAAAGCGGTAAAATTAAATTTTTTTTATGTTATTCTAATTTAGAGCGGTAACGTTTGGCTCCTACAAACTGCGCACTGCATGTATGTTTCTAATGTTGTTATCATAGAGTAGCCAGGTAGACAAGCAGAGCTGTAGTGGCTGTATGTTGCAAGTAGGGAGGACCTCCCCTACAGCGTTAAATGCTCGAGACCGTGAGCGGCAATGATGTGATCGATGCAAGAAGAGCCCCGATGCACAGGTGAGGTGCGACCGTGATGAGACGAATTAGATATTGGGGCCCCACCTGACCGCTTGCCGCACCCCCTGAACTGATGATGTCGTTACGCTACTGCATGTGCGTCACATGGGGGAAACAAACCCCTCGTCTTACGTCTGTCATCATTTTGACACTTAAATGAGAACACCACCCGATTTCACAAACGTGCTATTATCACAACGCGCACGGTACCCACGCGTTTGTTTTGTGTGGGAAGAGTACCAGGAGAAAACTCACGCACACGAGGGGACAACGCTCAACGGGTTCACCGTCCAATTGCTGTCGAAACAATTCCTGACCGCAACGTGACCCCCTACAGCCACTTGCGGCCGTTTCATTCAGCGCAGTATTTTAACCCAACCACAGACGGATGCATATACACACACACAGGGCTTGTAAATTGAGCCCAAGCGAGATGCCCTTTGCATCCTCCTCAATGCCACTGTACCACAGTTTCTATGTCCCTAGGCACGTGTATGAATAATAAGTACACTGGGTAGCTCGAATCCCATGTCCCTAGGCACGTGTGTGAATAGTGACTACCACCCTGGGTAGCACGAATACTTGGGAGGAGCGATGCCAGGACAGCAGAAACGGTGAGAATTGGTGGCCGAAATATGAACGAGAGTTCAACCCCCCCCCCCAATGATTAACTAATACAAAATATGTATCAATTATATTCTATGGCTCTCACACGTTACGTAAAACAAATTCGAGGTATCTTTCGTAGGGACACAACTGGAAAACACAGAAGAGTGAGTGTCTTTTTGTTTTCCTGGTACAGATATTGAAGATGGACCCGAATCAAAACGATGGAAATTGAGAGGCAGAGGAGTCGGGCGTGCTTTAGGAAAGATAAACGTGACCATGATGAAAAGTAAACGCACCAATGTGCCTAAAGAAACAAGTGTTTTTAATCAGCGCGTGCTTCCTGATAGGGGCATATGGTTCACTCAGAAATACGGTCGTTATCGATATATAAGCAAAGATGCGTGGGTAGATGCATGCTTGTAATTCCACGGACACAGAAGAGGAACACACAGACGAGAACATACACACGTTAATATTGTTCAAGCTGTTAATAAAAGTTAGTGGACTTAGATCGGACAGAAGCTAAATCCAAAAGGGGTGAAGCGGTGGCAGTTGTTAGTGCACTGCCCATTAAACCACGTGACCCGATTTCGATTTTCTGCCATGGCTACAACACCAGTGGCCAGTGATATCCTAGTCGGGCCTGGGCCTCCTGACTTCACCAACTGACACAGGCCCTCCGGGGTCAAACATCAACAAATTAAGATTAAACATCAAGTTCTCCACGGTCGACACGACATGAATCATCCAGCAGTGTATTAAAAAGGGGCTAAAAATTCTAACCCTATAAGCGTCAGTCGAGGCCAAAACACTAAACTCAATCCTGAAAAGTCCCCCTTTTTATCAGGGGGTGTTCCAGCAATACATACAACGTACAATGAACATTAAACCCATATATATCCCCTTTTATAAATGAGATGAATGCCATCGTAGATATATTTAATGTTTGTATAGATGGAATTGATCACTTTTGGAAAAACTGTTGTGCCACTTTTCCAGGAAGCCCAGAACGAGGGTGACCTCTATTCGTTCATCCGCCACGACATGCTCATATCTTCTTTAGTCAACCCGAGCCGATTGCGATTTGGACAAAAATACTTCACAGCCTGGCTTAAATTTCCATAATTCAGGTCAAGGGGATCTACTTCACAAAACATACCAAATATTTCATAAATAGGAATCTCTAATTTTAGATTTAACATTTAATCTTGCCTGCAATGTAGTGTTAATCTTTAGCTCGAAATTGGCATCATTACTTGAGAAATTTGGAGAATCGTATAAACGCCACATTTCACCCAAGTCAAGTTGACCGTCAACTCGAATGGGCATGCCAAACTCGAGGGGGCTGTCCCTGGAAAACTATGTTTTTCTTAACTCATCCTCTTTCTGTTTGCCACTGCAACACTATTTCAAGACTTCAAATACACAACTGTTGAGCTCATGCTTTTATTATGCATTTTAAACAAAACCGCATTGACGCCCCGCTGTGCACAGAGCTCGCTGCATCCATGCTTTGGTGTGAACCGCTCAGTGCTCGCACTTATATAATACTCAACTTATTTTAATGCCTAAATTGTACTTTTTTGTGTCAACTCAATCCATTGGGGAAATTTACATTTAACTGTTTAACATAAGTTAATGTTTGTACTGCTGCTTCATATATAATCAGAGGCTTATGCATGTTAGTAAGTGCCTCATTAAATAGCTTATGTTTTGTGGGCATTTATGGTGTGGTTCAAGTTTTAATAGCAACTATACTTGTACGGCTGATTGCTTAGACCGTTCATTTAAGTGGCCCCTCCATTGGACCATTATCAAGCATTGATCCGTTATTAAAGTCACAGCATAATAACCAAAGGTACAATGCATCACTTTTCCATAATTTACAGTTATCTTCGAAACCGATCTTCACCGCTTACTACTCAGCATAATCATTGGCTAATCACAATGTGTAACGCGGGGTGTTCTATGTCGGTGTAATATCTTCTTAATTGACAAGTTTATAAACCGTGTAATATGTGAAGAGAAATCATAACTGTGGTGAAATATAGATCGCAATTGTTAACACGAGTAGGGTCATTTTGAATTGTCATTACTTGGGAAAGACGTGGCATGCGCTCGCCTACTCTAGTACATTGTCACAAAGAAGATCTTCAACAGTCACTGTATAGCAGCGATTAGCAAACAACACAGATGTAAAAGGAACCACATTATATGCTAATAAATTGCAAATGAAGTGCATGATCCAAGCTTAAAAAAACTATTTTGTTTTGCACAACTTAAATTAGGTAAACATTACACTGTTTAACACCGATACAAATGGTATTCCACCATGCTGTCTTTGCCCACCAAAAACAATTACATGTTTACGGTAATTTATCGTTCTGCTAAGGTCTGCTGACTTAAAATAAGGTGTTGCACTTTCAAAATGGTGCTCCATAGACTGCAAACAAGGAAAACTCGTAAAATAATCGATTGACCAACCCGCAAAATTGAGAAACACCTCACCTAAACGAGAC